TGAATATATCTATAAAGAAGTTATATAAATTAGCTTTTGGCATGATGTCAATACCTGCTCTTAATTCTGAATATATATATTTCTTTCATAATGTATATCTGAAGTAGATATTAACATATTTAATACTGGGAGTTACAGTGTTACAATGCTCTTGGTGAAGGTAAATTGATTCTCAAAAGAACGTCTTTCTTTAACTACATGTATATTCAGTTACCATATACAGATTTCCAAGATTCAACTCAATTTGAATTCCCTTGGAAAAAAATCAGTAATTTGAATGTTTGATATAATTTGAAATTTTATATGGATCGTAATGTGGTAGATTCTAATAATGAGCACATCCCAGGTACAAACGTTGATATTATATGTTGCACATTTTCTCAGATTGAATTTATTTTATAGTTAAGGTCATCTTAAAACAAAAAAAAAATGTTTGCCTGCCCTCTCATGACTCAGGATAAAAAAAAAAAATTAGGTAGGTAGAGAATTTTTTTCCAGAAAATTTCAACATCAAAGCAGAATTTTCAAAATTGAAATTGAAAGTATTTATGAAACGAAAATGGTTGTTGACGGGATGGGAAAATTCCGGAAAGAATTTTTAAAAAAAATGGTTTCCTACTTAAAAAAAAGGTTTTTTTTAGTCAGTCGGTCGTGAGCTGGTAAACAGACTATTTTTTTTAATATGACCTGAGATATATTAAATCTAAACATTTACGTGCTTTCATTCAAACCTGGTAGACGAAGTATACTATTGATTTTTTTTATTAAATATGATTTTGTATTATTTTTCTCTTGAATAAAATAAGTGTAACTCAAATCTTCGATTAACAAGTGAACTTTAATATGGTTTCTTTGTTAAGGCTATGAATATATCTTTAGATTACATGTTAATTTGCATTCAATAAATTATGGGGAAAAATAACACTACTGTCGACCTTGTTCACGATGACTTGGTGTGGAATATGACATGCCCAATACAATTGACGATTGTTTTCTCCATTAAAGACAATAACAGCTAAATAATCCTAATTTCCAAACAGCGTCTCATACCTATAGAATTGACAAAAACGATATTTCTACGTCTGTGTTATATTTGAGACCGGAAGGAAGCTTTCAAGTCGCCATGACGATATTCAGATCCATATAAATGTTTGGATTGACTATATCATTGGCATTAAGTTCTTCGAATACGATAGCCTGTTCTCAAATATTTGAAGAGGCATATGCTATTAACTATCTCTTAATTTATGAACATGCTAAACAATACCCTGGAAGTGGAATCTATTGATTCAATCACCTAAAGCATACAAGAAAACAGGCTTTAAATGGGGAAGACGATCGTGACTTGACATAGTGCCGTCGGATCAGCGTGTGTACAAAGGAGTCTGAAGAACAACCAGTAACGACTCAGCCAAGGACCGAATTGTCTGGTTTTACTGACTCTTATGTCAACCTATGAATTTTAAGTCAAAGAACACACACTATAAATCAAACAAAAACTGAAAATGATCGGTGTTGTCAATGTAAACAATAGTTTAATTTGAGAATAATCGTCTCCTTTACCTTATTTCACATGATTAAAGTAAATGACCGAATAAGGACAAAATAATTGAGACGGTTCTTTTCATAGTATACATATGTAACTTGATGGGTTAGAAACAAAACTGTGGCATTTCTGAAATAGTTTTGAGTAGCCCTGACAAATATTTTATTTCTATAAAGAAAAGAAAATTTCCTCAAAAGAATGGGGAAAAAATAAAAAGAAATTTATGTGTCAAACATCTAATAAGGCGAGTACTCTGGACAATAATTAGGGGGGAAAACCACTTTGGAATGACAAGAGATTAATATAAATTGCGCTGAAAGTTTACAAATACTCGAGTCTAAAGTATGTTTTAATCACCTCAATCTTTATAAATAAAAATCTAAAACTATTATTTACAAATTCACACCACTTCTTATCTCTCTCGTAGCCACAGCAGTTTAAAGTCCAATACATCGCAGGACCTTCCCCTTGGTTCTTCTAGACTCCCCATCGGTGAAACCAAATTAGGTACAACGATAGTACTAAGCAAATATATAGTAGATATTTTACTGATAAACCATATGACTGAAGATAATAAACAAACATTGACTGCAGTTATCGCCCCAAGTGTCGAAGGAGTCATCCTTAAGCGCTATAACATCCAGATTGTCTGATAGTCCTCATGGTTTCGCATATACAAGTAGAAATATGTGTGAGAATTTCCGGCCGGGGGATGATTTTTCAAACTTCAAGAAAATCTTTTTTTTTTTACGTTATTGGTGTGTTCTTTTTTTTCTTTTTAAAAATATATTAAAGAAATTGTAATTTATTACACAGATTTTTTTTTGGCTTATAATATAAACCTTTTTGGTTAGAGTAAATGTATATTTGCAAGTCCAGTTTTTGTGTCCTCGAGTTTTGATATGGAATCCTTGAGATTTTTTTTTTTCAAAATCTCTGTTTTGAGGGGCGTATTTTTATTATTAGCACAGACGATAAACAATCTAAAAATCACACAAGTTGTCTTTTTCCCGACAAGAGATGGAGAACTTGTAAAATATTATCACTTTTTGACTGGATATTGTACGGATATTTTTCATTGTTGAAAAAATCATTTATCAAAATATTCAATAAATCTAATTGAAACAAACATGAATGATTTTTTTAAAAAGTTAACAAAAGATAACAATGGACAACTCATAAAAAATATCAAAATATATTCATCAACTATATACAGTATATATGAAAAAGGAAAAAAAAATTATTTTATACTTTAATTTTGTTTTCATTTATTTTCTTATTTGTATTTTTGTTTGAATTCTAAAGACGGAAAACAGAACCAAAATTTATATGAAGAATATTCATGAATCAGAAACACTATGACGTCAAAATATACCGATTCGCCTCATTACACAACAGGGTCTGAAATTTTTCAATGATCATCAAAAAAAAAGTGAGGGAAAAAAACTAATTTTATAGGCTGATGATTGAATCATTTAAACGATACTCTCGCTGATTCCAACAGCTAATGTTGTCATGTATGGGGGCATTTAGTGTCAAACTAGTAATGTGTAATCGATTGAGGAGCTATCAAATCACCACTCGCCGCGACGGAAGTCTTACTCTTTATCTAAATAGATGGACCTCAAGAAAGTGATAGGACTTAAAGTCTCTCATTTACCCCATAACCAGATCCACTGCCTGGCGATGCGTCACAATTAATTCAAATCAGAAAACAATTAACCTGTTATGGAGAGTCTTTATGCATATCAAATAGATGATAAAACTTTTCAACCTGCCATGGTACAATTTTTGTTTACTTGAAATATACATGTTCATTCATATGCCTTTTAAATTCAAATTATCTTTATTTCTTGATAAAATATAATCTATCTGGGATAAAACAGATAGATAACGCGTGTCCTTAGATAACACTGCGTGTAAATTTCACCGAGAATTGTAAATAATGCAAGGATTCACACGCGATAAACTCTTGATATCAATTGAAAGAAATCACTTTTATTTCTCATCTTTAAATCGTATTTCCTTAGACATAAATAATCTACGTTTTCCTTTTTTTTTAAATAGAGATTGTCAGATGAACTAATAAAAAAAGTTCCATTTTGAAAACTAAAAACAATCACGACGTACAGTTTTAAATAACGAAGGCCATAGTCTAAATATTAATTTCAAAATTGTCTAAATACTTATAATACATGTAATGAAAATATACTGATGCATTTTCTTTTTAAATTATTAAGCATAGAATGAGATCTGCATTCTTGTATAATCTCGCTAGTCAAAAATGGTAAAATTCTTATTAATAATCTAAATATTAATTTCAAAATTGTCTAAATACATAAAATAAAAATAAATTGATGCCTTTTCTTTTTAAATTATGAGGCATAGAATGTGACTCTACATTTTTTAATAATTTCGCTGGTCGAAAATGGTAAAATTCTTATCAATATTGTCTAATATGCTGTTTCAATTCAGATCAAAATTTAGATTTTAATACCAAAGTGTCCAACTTTTGGTTATGACGTACATCTTTTATATTTCTAGTTTAAAAATTTTTTAAAATGTTTATTGTTCCAATTGAAACTATTTTCAAAATTAGAAATAAAATTGAAGCAAAATTGTCATAAGAATTCAGAGATATTTGATTTCATAAATACTTGAACATCCCAAAATTTTGTTCAATAAAGTAGTTTTTTAAATTCACCTTTATATAGCTTTTTTAAACGCTTATCACAAATTGAAACCTAGAAAACATGTTTGAAACTGTTGTGAACTTCTCATATATATATATACATACATACATACATATATATATATATATATATATATATATATATATATATATATATATATATATATATATATATATATATATATATATGTTGTAAATAAATTATTGATAAATTATTGATGATCTGAATGTCTTTGTAAAAAACTTTTCTAACGAAGTTCAGATACATAAATGACAGCACATTAAAACAAAGAGAATTCTTTAGGTGGAGTAAATAAATCGGAATTGCAGTCCACATATCATCCATCAAATATGTACAAAAAATAAAACTTTTGATTAGTTCTTAGAGAACTTTATTCCTGTCCAAAAAAGACAGACCATCGACGTCAAGATCATTGCGTAGAACGAAATATAATATGTTAAAAAGCACTATATAAAATTAACAAAAATATATATCGAAAGTTGTTTGTAAAAGATCAATGCATTTTCCAACATATCTAAAGCACTTTAAAAAAAAAAAAGAAAAGAAAACGGATTTACATCCCAAAATTGAAATGGTCAATTTTACCTGAAAACCCGTCATCGGCAGATTTTATATACTCTAGAGATCTAAATCCTCTAAAACATGCGTTTATCTGAAAGTTTTAATAGATTTACTGGTTTGTGTATAAGTAGCACATGTCGTTTTTGTAAAGCACTGAGTTTGTGACCGGTGAAAAAAAA